CTCCTTCGGAAACGGGGCTGCAGCCTCGATCACAGCCTGCGGTCAGTGTCCCGCAGCCAGAACGCTTTTCATGGTGCCACATTCCCCTGTATCATATTCACCAGTGCCACATTCCCCGGTGCCACATTCACCCATGCCACATTCCCCGGTGACACGTTCCCCCGTGCCACATTCACCCGTGCCATATTCCCCGGTGACACATTCCCCCATGCCACATTCCCCGGTGCCACATCTCAGCACAGGTGCCATCCCCAAAGAAACTGGGGTGGTAGGACAGCCCTGTATTAGCATTACAGTAAGCAAGCATGAAAACTTTTATTCCCCCCCCCCCCCCTTTCTACCCACTATTTGTGCCAAAGTATTTTGGAAATAAAAGATTAGACAGCCAGTTGCAAACAAGCCTAAATAAAATTTACAGCAGCACTCTACAAATGAGCGTATGTTCCAATTCAGTACCGAAAAGAACCTGAGAAACAGGCAAGCCACATTTATTTTGTCCCTAAGCAATCCTCTCATCAAACCACACGTAACTTAAAAACTAGGCAATAGCAGTAAAGCAGAACAGCAATGCCCTACACTAATATTTGTTAACACATCTTCTATTTAAATCTTTGTCACTTTCGGTGTCAATTTCTTCTCAGGCATCCAGCTGTGTTGTTCACCAAAGGCAAGGATCAGCAAGTCTGAAATGTTCAAACTTTAAAATCTAGCTCTGAGACACCTTCCTTGAGAGGTCTATTGGACTTCGCGTGTGACCCAAGGGCAGAGGCTCCAAGGACTGGCAGCGTTTGTTGGCTCTTTTCCTTCACTCCACCAGTGGACAAAAGTGCTTCAGAGCCTTTCGTAAGTTCCCCTGGCACACTAGCTCACTGGTGTGAGCCTGGATTGGGGAAGATTAGTGTCATGCATATTTTATGATAGCATTGTTACATTTCATTCCTGAGACTTTGTCAAACACATCTGGATGTATTTAAACACACAGATCCCATCTTTCGGTGGTTTTTGTCATGCAGAATGGTCTGACCACCCCATAAAGGCACTCGCTGTGCTGTGTTGATTTGCCAGTGTTTTACAGCACCTCTGTCGTGTGAGTGTCCCTGCAGAGACTGGTCCCATGAAGCCCGTAGGTCAGTTACTGATTGGCACTGTCCACTGCTCCCGTGCTCAGTTTAGTCACTGATGGTTGGGAAGTCTGGGTTCAAGTCCAGTTTTTTAAGCCAGGAATTAACGATCATCCCAGTCACAGCAGGGATTTCAGGATGTTCCTTGGTTACTCCCCTTTGGTTTTTAAGCTTGGCCTTGAACAGTGGCTCGCCTAAGTCTTGCTTCTAGTGTGATATTACCAAAAAGTGGGGAATCTATTGCTTTTGAAGAAAGAAACAAATGCTTGTTTTCCCTTTTTATCTTGTGATTTGGTGCCTCTTCTTTGCTCTTGTCATACATTCAAAGCAATATTCTTTGTGGTGCAGCACGCAGCATTTGCAGTAAAATATTTTCTGTGATCATCAGATACCTGAGCTTCACTTTTCCAGTTAATTCTCTGAGGGGAAAAATAACCCATTATTTGCTTCTCATGCTCTAGAAGAGGGAAGATCTTACAAAAACCTGTCAAAAAAGTTAGTTGCAGGAGACCTTCTTTTCTAAAACTGCCAGTCTTTAACAGCAGGGATCGTGAGCTCCTTTTCCTGGGCTTGTTTGATAAACACAGTACCCCAGACACCAGGAAATACTATTTTAACTGCCCAGAAAGCAACATGGTGTTACTGTGCAAACACAAACAGACCCATCAGACGCCTCCTGAGTACCCACTGCAGGCTCACAGCTGGAGCTGGGAAGGGGCGTGCGCTGCCCGCTGAGACACGTGCCAACGGAACGGTGTTCAGACGAACGCAGCCAGCATCCACCGCCGGTAACGAACGGTCCAAGAAAAAGTGACCCCAGGGCAAACTCCAGGACAATTCTCCGCCCTAACTCCCAGCTTGTCTGTGCACAGCGTTACATCCAGCCCCATCTCATCTCCACTGCCTTCACACCACCAGCCCCTGCCCAGGTCCAGCCGAATGCTGCGGGGCAAAGCCCCCTCGGTGCCGGGTGCCCATACCACCGCCTCCACTTTCCAAGAGATCCCGAAACATCTTAGCTCATTCAGAACACTACAGAATTTTTCATGGCATAAACTACTGCTCCATACGAAAAGACTATCAGAAAGCTGACTCTTGAAAAAAGTTCTCACCAAAACAGATAAATGCAATTAAGGGTTTTTCCCCCCCACCACATTCTTCCAAGGATGTAGTCACTTTTAGATGCATATGTTCAAGTCTGTTGCTTTCCCTGCTGTTGTGCTGATGATAATCATACTAAAATATTACAGTCCCTCTTCAGGGAATGATAAATGTATTCTGCTCAGGTGAAGTATTCAAAACTATCTTTAAAAATAAGTGTTTCCCCAAACCTGGGTGCGTTCAGCACTGCGCACAGTGCATGCCACAGACTCCAGTGACACAGCAGTGTGCCATCTTTTGGTGACATACGATGATCATAGCACAAACCACAGCTTGATTTAAGCATTATCTTAAAAAAAAAATCCTTTGTCTATACACAGCTTTACCTCATTTTAATTCCAAGGTTGTCTTCAAACCCATGTAGTTAAACCAGACTTAGTCTTCAAATCTGACTAGGGTGCCACTCTGAAACCTCCCGAAGAGCATCCTGGCACAGACATGCTTCCAGGTAACAAGCCACTTTCTAAGCTGACCTGGTCAGGAAAACCCCCGAGCCCCGCGATGGCTGAAGTCACCCGCAGCCAGTCGATGGATGCTGACGGCTGTGCTCTGAGCATGATGGCACTCCAGGGGACGGGTCACTCTGTGCCCATGGCTTTGGCACGCAGGAAGACCAAGGTCCCAGCTGCAGCGTGGTCCCTGCGGTACCTCTCCGGCACAAAGCGTGGGGAGCTGGCATGCCGTCCATCCTCGGGCTGACTGCACCTTTGGTAAAGAAGTAAAAATGTATTTGTATATACTTGAAACCTGAACTGAACTGTTTGAGCATCCTACACGCTGCAGCCAGAACAATGCAGTATAGAACAGACACACTGCTCTTCTCTGGGAACACTGACAGGGAAAAGCAAGCACCCAAATGCAACTGCAGCCTGCAGAGTGGGTGTCCTGGCCTGGCAGGGTGCTGATACCTGTGCTGCTGCATTAGGAACAACAACAAAAAATAAACCCACAGAGCAGCTCAGCATTGCCCACTGCACAGGAAACCTGGAAAATAAAACCCTCTAAAAACTCCTTTGTGGAGAGCAGCTAACCAGCCGCGGCAGCCAAGCCTGGCTCTGAAATCGCCCCCTCGCCAATCAGACAGGGACGGGAAGAGCAGAGCACTCATCGAATTACAGAGAGCTCCTTCTGCCATCCAACCCTGCTTATCGAGTGACGGAGGAGGCACGGAAACACACAAACTGCTCTGTTTCCAGCTCACTCGAACACGTTAGTGTGCGAGCTGGAGCTGTACAGGAGGGGCTGGGGCAGAAACAACCCTTTGCAGCACCTCGCAGGGAAGCTGTGCCAGCCGGGGGCTCGCTGACGAAGCTCCCTGGGGTGAGGGCTCCCACGGAGAGCAGGGCTGGCCAGGCACCGGGGCTCTGCGGGGGCTCGGCTCTGTGCCCTGCTCAGGAACACTTCGCTGCTGCCTTGCTGAAAGCCGCGTCCCTCCAAGGACCTCGCGCCACGATGCCAGCCCAGCAGAAGAAGATCATCTTTTGCATCGCCGGGGTGCTGAGCCTTGCCTGCGCGCTGGGGACGGCGGCTGCCATCAGCACGCAGCGGTGGGTGACGGGGATCCTCTGCAAGACCGGAGCCCTGCTTGTCAACGCCACTGGCCAGGAGCTGCACAAGTTCATGGGGCACATCCAGTACGGGCTGTTCTACGGGGAGCGCGTGCGGCAGTGCGGGCTTGGGGGCAGACCTTCCCAGTTTTCATGTGAGTAGCAATGGCGTTTGAATTCTTTACCACCGCACTGCTGGCGGCTCGGCAGCCAGGAGATCGCTGCCCAGCGTCCCCCTGCTCGCAGACAGAGCCTCACAAGTGTGAAATATCCTACTGCAAATGCTGCTGTCAGTGTTCTGAGCCTCGGGTTCACACACCTTCTTTTCTGGTATTAGTAAAGCCACACTAACACCTTCAACAACCTGCATTGCCATGCCACAGATAACTAGATTCCAAAAGATTCACACTATTACTTTAAAAAAAGACTAGTTTTGTTTTTCAGTTAATCTCTGCCACCTCCCTGTGTGTGTGTCAATGTTGTGTCCTCTGCTCCATCCTGAGAGAATGCACTAAACTATCAGAAATCTCAGAAAAGGGCTGGGGCATAGACACCTTTGGCTGCTGTTGAGAAACAAACCTGCTGCATTGATTGGAGAAACGGCTGTTTGATGGCAGCGGACGCTCAGTCTACAAGTGGAACTTGGTATGGGACACACAGAATTTTATCACAGCCTGCTAGCAATGGGTTTGCTTTACATGTAATATCCATAACCTATTTATCTTCAAGGAGAAGAAGATCACTAAAACGATCAAGTGAACACCCAGGTTGTATGTGGCAGCACATTAAACAGATAATAACAAATGTCCGTTTGTTAGATGTACAGCATGCCACCCAAAGTTATTACAAAACACAGCTTAGCAGCATTCTGCTAAACCCGCACTGGGAAATTGCTTACACGAGGAATCTAAGGCAAGGTACGGTTACCAATTAGGTATCAGAAATTATTTACTACATAATATTTTTCCAAATTCATTTACTATAACATTAAGATTTGCCGTCTCTAATTAAATTCCATCACTAGCCTATTTATACAGTGCAATGGCTTTGTTTGCCATCACAGCACGCAGATATTCCACCCTGCTGGTTACAGGCTGGGGGAATTTTCAGTGGGGTCGACTAAATCCCACAGAATTTGTTCTCTGCTGTAGGTGACACTGTCACGAACCCCAGCTGGCAAACCCGCGAGCCCTCGGCAGCTCTGCTGTACAAGGCAGGCATTAGCTGTGACACACTTCACTAAGTCTCGCTGACAATGGCACAAGCCCTCTCTCTGATTTCCATCCCGTACGTAGCACTCTGGAGAGATGACACTCCCAGGTGGTGTGTGGCACCGCGTACCCCGACACGTCGCCCAGCTGCAGCCTCAGTCGCTCCTCAAGCCCACGCACGCATCCAGGGTGTAACACGCTGGAGTGTGCATTAGCATGGCTAAGAAGAAGAGGCACGGAAAACAGGCTACATGATTTAGCTCTGTGTTTGCTCCCATGAAAAGCTCCCCTCTGACCACTCTATCTCTTTTAATTGTAAGATGAATTTGCTCTGCCAGCAGACCCGGTTCGGCTGGGGAAAGCCTTCTGCTTCATTTGCTCCTGCTGATTCTCATCAGTTTCTGGGTCAGCGGTTCATTTTCTAAAGGTCGCTGGCATGCATACCTAACACACAATTCCATTCATTACGATGAAGAAACGTTTTTCTTTCAAGACAACATAGCTGCTGGAATTCATTTTTCCTGATAAGTCACATATAAAATTTTAATGACATAAACCACCATAAGTGCGGGTGCCAGGGGAAAGATTCAACTCGAGGCAGTCACGCATTTTCTTAAAACAAACAGGACAAAGTTGTATTATTAAACACACAGTTTTGTATGTCCTCCCAGAGGATCAGGTGATGCTGCAAGAACTAATGCTCTTCCTTGCAGGAGTTCTGCTCGGGTGGGGACTCTGCAGCCTTTTCCTTGGCTGTCCTGAGTGGGATAACAGCAGAATTGTGCTTTGTACCGCAGGGACAGAACAGCTGCTTCTGATGCTTGCAAACACATGAAACGCGTAATAAACACAAGGACTAGTTTCTAAAACACGCTTTGTGCTTTACTAGGATGACAGAAGGAATTTAAGCATGCTGGACAATAAGTAGCCCCAGCAGAAGTCACCTTTTTTGCAGCAAATTCTTCCTTTGGGTAAATGGGTAAATCGAGCAAATGGGTCATTTAGGAAACGGGTCCCCCGTGGGCACCGGGTCCCCTCTCTGCTCCCAGCCAGCCAGCAACAACGCGAAAGGGGATATTCATTTAACACAGCTTCAAGAATAGTTTGCAAATGTTTGCTCCATTAATTTCCCTTTCATTTAGTCAGGGAAATAAATGGACTCGAGGCCACGTTACCGGCTTCTCCGTGTGTGCTGCGTGGCAAGCTGCAGAGCTGATCGCTGCTGAACACTTTACAAGGTGGAGTAATTTATGTGAGGCTCTGCTACTCCCTGCACATTACAGCCGCAGCAAGGCAGCACCAAGCTGTCATTACCCTGCTTTAACCGTGCCCCTGTGGATCAGGAGCAGTTGAGCGTGTTTGATGGCTCCTTCCAAATCCCCGGTGTTGCCAAACAAACATGAATGATTAAAAATTATTCTCTCGTACCGAGTCTGATTGACTATCCCCTTGTGCCCTGGCTAAGCAGGATCACAGTGTGAAATAACAGCTAAAAAGTTGTATTAAAATATTTAAAATAAATTATTCCTAGATTTCTGCATACGTAGTCACACCGGCCGTTGCATGGCTGGGACTCAGCCCAGCCTGCAGGCTTTTATTGTAAGATTTCTCCGTTTCTTCTTATTGATTTGTCATGTTGCCTTTTTGGTCTAGGGCTTCCAGACACAAAACATTCCGCAAGTGTTTTACTTGGGGAAACACAGGGGAGAAAATTTCCTTATTCCTTCAAAATTTCATTCACGGAGTTTGTTGCAAATACCTCTTTGATGTAACCCTTATGAACGTCTCCCTCTTTAGTATCGTATTTAATTTTTTAAATAATTTAAGAGATTAATCAATGTACAGAAATAGATATCCTTTCTATTTTTAAGTATTTTTATCAGACTACCATTTTTTTTTCCTATTTTCTTAAATAGCATGGACACTGACACAGGGCTGGGCACGGCTTGTCCTCACCTGACCTTCCCTGCCCCTGTATTTTGGGAAATCAGATAAATACAGGACTCTAGTGACCAGAAAAACCCTCTCCAAGTAATGGCCGGGGCAGGGGGCTAAACCGTGTAGTTTGTACCCTTGGGGAGGGTGGAGAGGCTCTCCCCAGATTTGGGCTTTGTCCTGGCCGTGTACACCTCTGAGTTTCACTAAATGCTTCTCCCTGCGAACATCCAGGAAAACCTCTTTCTGGTTAATTACCTTCATTTTCACCTTTGGTTGCATTTGGAAGAGCAGAGTGTAAAAATTAACACAGACTAGCAAGAAATCCCTGGCCTGTCTTCTGAAACAACTTTGCCCGATGTATATAATAACATTTTGTTTGTTTTGTTTTCAGTTTTTCCAGATCTGCTCAAAATTATCCCTGCAAGTATCCATGTTAGTGTCATTCTCTTCTCTACGGTACTGGTCGTCTTTGCTCTGGTGGGAACAGGTTTCTTCATGCTCAATGCTTTCAGCAGCCCGTACGAAACCCTGCACGGCCCCGTTGGGTTGTACCTCTGGAGCTTCATCGCCTGTAAGTGTCCCCACCCCGGCCGGCCAGGCTGGCACTGGCCACATTCGGCTACTGGTGACGACCAACGTCTGGTCAGCATAGGAGAGCGTGTTAAGGACCACGGCTGCATTGACTCTAAACTGGCAAAACAAAGCTGGGCGGAAAGGTGGATGATTTTGCTATATCAAAATATTTTTTTTCTAAATTTGAGTTAGGAGATAAAGCGCCAAAACCCTCCATGAGGGCGAGTGGTGGATGGGTATGGGGGAGCAGCCACAGGCAGCCCTGGCACCCCCAACCCTTCTCTGCAAGCTGGTGGGAAAGGGATGGTGCCCACGAACCCCAGGGACCCAGAGCTGGGGCCACATTGCGTTGGCACAGTGCATGGCTAGAACCGGGAATTGCACCACAGGGGGGAAAAGGGGGGAAAAAAACCAAACAAAAACAAGTCAGTGATGCAAGTGCTCGTATTCACCAAGACGGGAGGTTTCCAGCCGTGTAAGCGAGATCAGCACTTACTCCAGCAAGACTTCACCAGGAAGGAAGGGAGTGAGAAGCAGAAAGGGCGAGACTGACAGCAACTTACTGTAGAAGTGGCCAGTAGCGATAACGGAGCATCCCTGTCTCTCCGCCATGGACAGAGAGGGTAGAGCCCATTCTCTGTGTCGCTGGCTTGGCTGACAAGGAGATCTACCATTATTTCACAAGGTATTACATATGACAATCATAATTTAGTAACTGACAAGTGCATATTTCTCTTTAACAGTGCAGACAGCTCAGGTATGTTCAAGGGAACAATGAGCAGCTTAAAGCTGAGAAAGAGCACAGATGCGTTGCTGGATCAGGGCACGAAAGGAACCATGCTAAATATTATTGGTCCTAAGCTGAATTCAGTTAAGCAAAGCTCACCAATTTCGGTAGCCGTTGGCTTGGATTCTAAAAATAATATCTGTTAAGGCGAAGTTTTGGTGGTCATATTACCACTAACCAATATGGCACTTGGTTGTGACGCACATCTCGGGGCCGTGCTGCAGGGACACCCGAGGTGACAAGCATCTCTCCCTCCCTTTCAGGTTCCTGCGGTTGCCTCATCATGATTCTCTTCTCTTCAGAAGTGAAAATCCACCACCTTTCCGAGAAAATTGCTAATTTCAAAGAGGGAAGCTTTATATTCAAGACTCACAGTGAACAGTTTGCAAATTCCTTCTGGATCATCCTCGTTTGCTCCCTGGTGCACTTCCTGAATGCCTTGTTGATACGATTTGCTGGATTTGAATTTCCTTTTTCAAAATCAAAGGATTCAGGGACAACCACGGGAGCGGTTGACCTGATGTATTAGAATTACCTAATTCAAGAACATTTCAAGCAAAGAGGTTCATCTCTACGACATTCAGCAACCACCAGATGTACTAACTTTTAAATGATTAGCTCTAAATAAGTTAAAAAAATGAAGGTTTCAAATAAATGCCAATATGGCAGATGCAGTAAACAAAAGACATACTATTTGGTGATGTCTCCATCAAAATACCCTCTCTTGCTTGGGGTAAGACCTTATGAAGACATTTGCTCTTTTTTCCACTAAGTTATTTGAAAAGTAGCTGGTATGAAGAAAACTAGGAACTTCAATAGCATGGACCTGGATCTGGAAAGTAAAATAAACGGGCTGCCAGACTGTCCCCAGCAGCTTGTGGCCCCCATGAAGGCGAGGAGGCCACTGTCACTGCGTCAGGGCAGCAGGGACCATGGATGCACAGCCAATCTCCAGACACCAAACAGGAGAAGAGAAAACGTGCGGGTGCTTTGCCCTGACAGCCGTCGGGCCCCGCGCAGGAGCAGGATGCTGAGAGGGATCCCAACGCTGCAGCAACTGCTTGTAGGAGAGAACCCAAACCCCTGAACCACCACGAACACTTCAGACCAGCACCAGGCGCATGGCAAAGCCATGGCTTCTGTCCATAAAGCTCCTTTGGGCGTTTTCCAGTTTTAACAAACCAAACCGCAACTCTTTGACCCCGAGAGCCCTCGCTGCCCTGTGCGATTGCTGTGCTGGGGGCTTCGCCATCTCTGTTGAAAGGACACGCACGGCACAGCAGGATGTGGAGCAGATCCTCCCTCCTGCCTGCCCAGGACACAGCCCGGCTTGGCGCCACTGAACAACCGCCTGCAACACGCCGAGGCAGAGCGCAGCCCCCAGCACAGCCACAGGAGGGCACACTGGCACCTTTCGCCTTGGGCTGCGGCTCCCGAAGCCTCACGGACAGAAGGATGAAGAGCCCTGGAACTCTCTCAACAATACCAATAAACAAAACCAGAACCTTTGGCAAAGGGCAGCAGTGGGTTAACACGACTATGCAGCAAGGATAAATATGTATTTTAAAGGAAAAATGAGATTATTTTCCTGTCCTAATAAAAAATTAGTATGTATGTGTGTCCGTACAAGTGTGTGCTGAGCTTAGACCCCCAGCCCGCTGACGCTGACATGGGGCGAGCGAGGAGCCCGGTGTGGCAGACACAGAGCTCACCGTGTCCCCTGGACCCCGCTGCAGAGCTGCCCTGCGCAGGGACCCTGGGGGTCGCGCTGCCGGCTCCCGCAGCCGTACACCCACCCGGACGGGTTTTCCTGTCCAGGGCTGCCCCGGACGAGCCAAGCTCAGACACACCTGGGGAACCCAGAGCAGCTCCCCGTGCGCAACAGCAAGCCAGGCTTAGCTCATTAACGTCAGCTCAACCTTGCGTTTTTTCCACCACAACTCAGACAGATCCCCCGGTTGGTGCGTTCTCACAGACCGAAAGAGAAGAAAACAAACCGTGAGGTTTCCATGGCCCCGGCAGCACAGAACCAGGGGGTTCCCCCCTCGGCTGCGCAGTGCTGGGCTCGTGCCCCGGATCCCCAGCCTGGCCGCGGCGAGTGGCTAGAGTCAAAGGAACATCACTGCACAGATTGTCCCTTTCTCCAGCTCATCTCCCCACTGGATTTGCTCAACTTTACAGACATCTGCTAAGTCTGCTTTTATTTTTCTCCTCGAGCTGCACACTCCCCACCCTGCCCTCGCAGCCAAACTCCATCCCGCTTGTTGTCAGCCCGTGGGGTGCAAGCTAAGTTAGAAGCTGACATAACAAATCTGTGCTCTCTGTGTAGATTAGGAAGACTGTCCTTGGGAATTTTGAGAAAAACATTTTAATCACCGAAGGTTTGTTAGATTTACCCTTGAAGACAGGAACATCCTGGAAAATAATCAGTATGTTCAGAGCAGTCAGCCAAGTTAGTGACTAGCACCGTCCAAAAGCGACCGATCCTCATTTTAATATAATTATAATACTAAAAATCACACCTCCAAGTGTCGGGACAACCCTCCTGAATTAAGACCCCCATTTACTGAGCATGCGCAGTAAATTTAAGGAATTCTTAAATCAAAGCGAGCAAAGAACTAACCAGCTGCAGTTCAGAAGAGATAAAACCCAACCACTCATGGTTAGAAGGATGTGGCACTGACATTTTGAACTGAATAAATACACCGTGTGACTGCAGCTGGGGGTGCTAGATCTGTGCAAGTACCACATATCTACCAGAGTACCACCAACTACCAGAATTGCATCTCTGCGCAGACACGCAATAAACAGTATCTCGGCTCTGGGTGTGTATTGGCTTATTGCACACCCGGCGACAAACTCTGCTTGTGGGACAACACGTGCAGAGAGAGCTGGAGCCCTGCCCTGGAAAATACACCCTGCCCCTGCCCCAGCCCCAGCACCAGCCCCTGCCCCTGCCCC